TCTTAAGACAATGAATATAAACGAATGAATAAAAGTTTCTGGACCAGAATTACACGAGGAATTCATTGAGAATAACTCATAATGACAAAAAAATTGCTGCAAGTTTATTACCCCCTGTAGAAGTTTTAATATAAGACACCTAGACCAAACTTAATAAAAACAGAAATGCAAATTTATCAAATAACTGACTGTTGTTGTTGTCCTTGTTTATTATCCTCTTGTGCAAAGAATACACAAATTCCATGAGTTCATGCTCCTCGATCTGTTTTATGATAGGCAGCTGCCTCTCCCAAAGGTCCTGTTTAGTGCATCTAATGCAAGCCAAAATGTGTTCTGAAGCTGCAGGTGCCAAGCTACATTTAGGACAAGTGGGGTAGATTTTGTTATTGTTTTCTATCTTCAATGGTTTGAGATGGCCTGTTCTTAATCTTGTTTGGCGCTGTCTATTTCTGAGGTTCAGATCTCTTCCTGGGTCCACTCCACTGTATCAGCTGTGCTTTTAGGGGGGATCCTTCAGTTCTTGTTTATCTTGGCTACTGTCTCTATTTCTTTAAAAGTAAATTAATTATTCTGTGGAAAGGGTTCTTTTGTAACTTTTTTTTTTTTGGATAATGCATCAGCAGCCTGATTGCCTTAAATACCAACATGGATTTTGAGATAACCAATTATGTTCCGACCAAATTTTGTCTTAAGTTCCTCCTGTGTGACTCAGGTGTTGTAGGCACTTCTATTATAAGATCCAGATATCTTGACTGAAATAATAATTGAGGTGATCGAGTAAAAGTCCAAATTTTTATGACAGTGTTGGGCTGTGAAAACAGAACTGGCCAGGGTACTCTGTCTGAAAGGATCAATGGCTGACATCTTGGCCATTGCCAAGTGGCACATACAAGGCTTCTCACTCTTTGGGAGAGTTAGTTCATCAGTAAAGCTGGCTATTCACAAGCCCAGGTGGGTACAGTTTTGAAGCCAAAAGAACAACCTTGTCAAAACTTGGAATTTAAGCACATGCTTAAGACTCGTATATCTGCAAACCTATGTGCACAAATGTGTTGAAAGCTAACTATTTAAACATCGTCTATTTCCAACCTTCACTTTATAGTGTAGTTAGATTGTTATAACTAAATTATAGATGTGAGGGCTGAACTCTCAGAAAAGAAGAAAAATAATTGAAGCCTTTAAAATATGGGCATGGAGAAAACTACTCAGAGTGACATGGATAGATAAAAAAAGGACAAATATTTCAATCTTAAATGGATTAAACCTGGTAGATTCCTAGAATCCCAAATATGCAAATAAAGAGTGACCTACTTGGGACACATAATGGGAGAAAATGGCTTAGAAAAGACGATGTTGAGAAAAAAGAAAGAGAGGAAGGCCTCCAATGAGCTGGTACAAGAAAACTACCGGAAGGTTACTAGATGAACTGATGGTCATAACAAATCAAATTGGAGAATAGTTGTCCATATAGTCAACAAAACTTAGTGGACGTTAACAAAACATATTGTTGTCCATTTGAGAATGTACCAACTTGAACAAACAATGTGATATGTAAAATGTGCCACTTCTGGTAGGATAATGAATATGCAAAGATGTATGAAGCTGCAACAAGGTATGTTGTGGCTGCTAAAAGCTTTTATTTTGGCAGGATCTACTCTTGATAGATAAAAGACACCACTTTGATCCTGTATTTGGTTCTTCTATTCAGTATCAACCCACGGACAGCAGTTCTACACAGAAGTGAAGTGAACCACATTTACTGAATCTTGTTCGCTTTATGTATTTTCTATAGCCTCTATTTCATATTTTAATCCGAGACCAGAAAAAAAAATAATATTTTGTAAAATTTCATCATCATATGTAGTGTACCACCTCTACTATGGAGATTGGCTATCATGGTATGTCACACTTAGGTAAGAACCACATACAGGATAGACATTATCATACCTTTTTGATAAGTTCCCTATTTCTACTGGCCTGTCTTGCAATGATAAAAATAATGGGAGAGCCTCACTCATCAGTGGTGAACCCTCCCAGCAGTTTCCTCAGTTTAATCTAGTTGTGCACAATCTCCAACAACTGGTGTGAGGGGGGAAGTTCGACCACACCTCCTTATGGTCCTCCCTGGACCCTCGGAGTATTCAACCACATTCTGGTTCATTTCCAAGGTCAATAACATGGCAACCCATTTATTAATGAACGGAGACATGAGGCTCTTCATTGGACATGACACCATGAGTTGTCCATCAAGACTGAGTAGATTTTAAATCATAATTGTGCTTGGGGAAATATTTCTACTTGACTAAAGCTATTCTACAAAGGTCACAACTAGGTATACACCACCTGTTAGGTGCTCAGAGAGCTTTATTTGTATACAAATATTCTAAGTCATTGCCAACAAGCATATCTATTTTATTTATTTATAATCTACCAAACAACTAGAAAGTTCAAAGGAAATAAAATAACTAGAGAAAGGGATATATATATATGATACATATTTTGCTCGACTAATCCTAGAAATGCTAAATTAAATATTCTATGATTTAAAATATTTGACCACAACATCAGCATTCAACAATCACATAGATTATAAAATATAGCATGCAATATATAGGTGGGAAGCATACATACAAAACAAACAAACAAAAAATCCCAATAGTTTAAATATATTTAGGGATGATTTTATTTTATAAAAACAATAAGTTTATAAAAATATACATATAAAAGGTATAAATATAGGGAGATATATATAGAGAGGTGTGTTTGTTGAGACCAATGTGTGAAGTTTTGTATTTATATCATATCTAACTATTAAAAAACGGAAGAAAAAAAATAAAAGATAAAAAGATCAGGTGTTGAAATCAATATTAAAAATGGCATATCCTGACCAAGAGCACATGTGCTCCTGGTCAGGATATGCCATTTTTAATATTGATATCTAACTATGTACATGTGATTTACATATTACATATCTAACTATGTACATGTGATTTACATATTACATATCTAACTGTACATGTGATGAGGTGGACACCATGCTCTACTCCTCCACATGGCTGGAACAACATATATATACTTTAAAAGGTATAAATATAGGAGATATAAACAGGTGTGTTTGTTGAGACCAATGTGTGAAGTTTTGTATTTACATTATATCTAACTGTACATGTGATGAGGTGGACACCATGCTCTACTCCTCCACATGGCTGGAACAACATATTTACATACTGTAAAACCTGGTTGGGAAAAAATCGTTTTAACAACAAATTCTAGATTTATTATTACAGGTTTGTGGATTTTGACAAATTATAAAAAGATATAAGATGCTGCAAATCTTCTTTTATTAAATAAAAAACTTCTACTTAAATCCACTCATGGACAAAACTTAAGAAAGGAGAATGTCGTCTATTTTATTGAAGGAGACAGAGGCAATTTTGTTCACACTTGGTTATCTCGTGTGTTTTCAATAAAGGTCACTGTGTATCAAATATCTTTGAGAATTATTGTCTGAATCCTGATATATATGTTGCAACCAGACATCCGATTAGTATAATTTTAGAAACGAGTCTAAACATATTTCGAATTTTCAAATTGGGCAGAGAATTGAGAGTTTGTTAGAAATGAATTAATGTTGAGAATTTGTTTTCTAATTGTGCTGAATTAATGAGATTTCAGATACAATGGGTGAGTGAATGTGGTTGAGGTCACACTCCAGGAGCTTTAGTTCCATGTAGGAGGATAGCTTAGGTAGAAAGTCTCTCTCCAGTTTATAATGGAATACATTGCACACAATTAGGTTGAAGTTACCTCAATGTCTTGTGGGAGACAGAACTGGAGTCACTCCTGTTCTGGATGACACTGTCCTGTGTGCTGGTGTCATCATGGTGGCCATCTTGGAACTGGCATACACACACCAGGGTCTATAACCCAATATCATCCTTCAATAATCCCCAATATTAAGGTGAAAATATCAGGCTTCCAGAAAAAATTATGAAAAAAGGCATCTCCTTATCGTGCAACTGAAAGTTGCTGATGGCTTGCGCCATCTATCGGAATAAATATCAACTATTCTCGTTGATTTTTAATTATTCTAGAATTGGCCAAATAACCACGGACGCGTTTCGGGCTGTTGGCCCTCATCAGCGTGGTGCAAGCTGAATCTCAACGACCAAAAAAAAATTTGAGTCATTTGAGGCATCCTGAAAAATCATGAAACGGGTAGTTAAGGCCAGAATTGCGTGAGACCACGACACTTTACTGTAAGTGCACCATATGTCTACACATGTGAAAAGCAGTTCGACTTTCCACTTACAAATGTGCCAGAGCCCCGTTTGGTTAATTGCACTCGCTGGTGGTGTTGGACTTTTGCAAGAATTGGGGGCCATTGGAGCATTATTTTTTTAATTATAAAAAAAGTGTTCAATTTGATCCCGGGTCGTATATAGCAGTCAAAAACCAATGGACCACCCTTCCACCGACCCCCAATAATATTAGTTGGTATTTATTCCGACAGATATGGCGCAAGCCATCAGAAACTTTCAGATATACTATTAGGAGATGCTTTTTATAAATGTTTACCTACTTTTAATCAATTAGCAATTCTACAGTAAAAAGATACCTCTTTCTAAAGGACACTTTGTGTCTGCAACTAGGTGTTGTCCTTTATAGAGAAGTTCTACTGTGTACTCTCAGTTTTATCACCAGCAGCCAAATATTCCTTCCATCACCCCTGAGAATGAAGCTATCCAACAGTGTACATACACTCATGGACAAACTAAAGGGAGTAGAAAGACTGATGTTGCCAGTTGTCTGTATTTTTTTAAAGATAAAGATGCAATTTTGTTCACAGTTTATTTGTCTTCAATAAAGGTCACTGTGTATCAAATATCTTATTGTCCCGATATACAGTAGAACCTGCCTGTAAAAGACAGCTAGTTGCAAAGCCAAAGTGTCCTTTAGAGAGAGATGCCCTTTTACCAGAGAGTTGCAAAATAGTAAACATGGTAATTTTAGCAATGAAAACTGCCCTTTGTTGAGGTGTTTTCAAGTGAAAGTCCTCTCACAGAGGTTCTACTGTACATGCTAAAAGGACTTGAGTATGTGACCTCACCTCCTGATTGTTCCTGCACTTCTCCTTGTTGCAGCGACAGCTGGGCAGACAGGCCTGCTTGGAGTGGTAGCAACCACACTTCCTGTTGCTGCAGGAGGTTTGGCACCGACATTTCTGGACACACAGCTGTTACAGCTTGTGTTACACCACTGTGTCAACCTCTCTCTCACCTTGGGTATGCTCTCTTTGTTGAGCAGCTTCCTGGGAACCATGCTCTCCTTGGGTTTCCTCATCAGGATGCTCGCCTGCCATAGAAGCCACACATGTTATTATCCATTAGCACAGCGTCTGTTATAGAAGAAATTGAGACTGTTTTAAACACCATGATTATTTTTTAAAATTAAATAATTATCTCAAAGCTCTTATGTTGTTGTTTCTTATCCCCTTGTGTAAAGATTACACGAATTCCATGCAAAGCTCTTATACCTTATCCAAGAGGTCAGTATCAGTATATAAAAGGATAAATGCAATATTACAGTAGTATGATAGAAGTGAAACCACTGGGAGGGTTCACCACTGATGACCCAGGCCCTCCCATTAATTCATCGTTGCAGTAATGGCAGTAAAAATTATTTTATTTAAAAAAAAATCTTACATGTCTAAAATAGTTTCAATTTCACATTTACATGTTGTTGTTTTTTTCCTTTCCCCTTTTGCAAAGATTACACAAATTCCAAGAGTCCATGCTCCTTGAGCTGTTAGATGATAAGCAGCTGCCTCTCCCAAAGGTCCTGTTTAGTACATCAAATGCAAGCCAAAGTGTATTCTGGAGGTGCAGGTGCCAAGCTAAATTTTGGAGCAAGTGGAGTAGATTTTGTTGTTATTTTATATCTTTAATTGCCTGAGATTGAAAATAGTAACAAAATCTACCCCACACACAGATGGAATATGTACAAATAAAGGCAAACCTCTCTCATTACAACATTTGGGACTGTTGCCAAGGTTGGAAACTGGGGAGTTTAGAATTATGAGGTTATAATGAAGCTGCTGTTATAAAGCTCTATAGACCTTTTCATTTTTTAAATATATATATATACATGGTAAACGGTTTGCGGATTAGCTGAAGAAGGGCTTGCCCGAAAGCTTCCTTAATTGCGTTAATAAAAAAAAAGAGTTGCGGCGATATATGATTCCCTCTTTCTAAATATATATACATGTCATAATATTACTCTTCCAGGAATAATAAAGTAAACCTAGAGTCAGCCCAGAGAGAGACAGCAGCTAAAGTCCAGTCATTTGAGACACCTGCGACATTCCAGGGGGGCGACCACAGGGGCGTTACTTGGAACTTCAGGACTAATTAAGACAGTTGGGGATTTTGTGTGCGATACGGAACGGCCGGCCGCTCAGCGGTGGCCGGGCCGTCTCTCTCTCGCTGGTTGCCTGATTTCATCTTCCAACTTGTGGTGTGATTATTTCTCTTCCCCACATTATTATTATATTGTCACATATATAATATAAAAAATCCTATTTCTACAGCCCTTATACTGCAAAGATTAAAAATTTAAAGACTGAGGGCATGGCTCATCAGTGGTGAACCCTTCCATTTGAATCTCCAATCCGCTTCACTATTGTATTATTGGACTGATGTATCCTGCTAGTGAGTACAGTAAATTGGTGTTTTGAAGGGACTTCTAGGACTGTAGAAAATATATATCAGAATTAACAAAGAGCCCTCATTCTTTTAATTTTTAATCATTGCAGTATAAGGGCTGTAGAAAAAGAATTTTTTATATATATATTTAAAAAGAAAAGTAGCGTTAAAAATGAAAAGGTCTATACAGCTTTATAACAGCAGCTTCATTGTAACCTCATAATTCTAAACTCCCCAGTTTCCAACCTAGTCCCAAATGTTGTAATGAGAGAGTTATAAAAAAGAATTCTATTTTTAAATATTACCTACATTTCAAGGGCAGAAATGCATATCTAGGTAAATATTATATTAATATATTTTTAAAGCTTGGATTTTTTTCTTTTTAGACAATCATCTAAATGGCATCGATTTCAGGCTGTTTGATTTAAATAAAATTGCATTTATAATTCTCGAAAAATGACATCTGCGCGCCTGCGCTTTAATTTTGAAAAGATGGTATTTTTAGAAGTATATATTGGTAAAAATATTTAAGTAAGTGAACGAGTTTTTTCAAGATTTTAAAAATTAGTTTACTTTAATTATTAATGTTTAAATTTTAATAGGGTTTCCTTTTCTCTATATTTCCAAAAATGGACACTTATATAAAATAGTTTTTTTTTTCAATTTTTTATATTCCATAATATCGAATTATCTCCTGAGCCCATTTAAAAAATAATATGTACCGTATTTATACTTCAGAATTATTGAGTTTCTTTTTATAAAGGATTATAAAGAATTAAATTATATTTTTATTAGATTTATATGTACCAAATATGCGAGCATATAAATCAATTATATTTGTACCAAAATCCCTCTCCCTTTAAATATTAAAAGGGATATGTGTTACTTTTGATACATGAATAGCATCATTCCGTAACTTTTTTGTGTGATTTCTATATCTATCTATAAAATACGATATCGGTGATGCACGGTATCAACTATAGAACGGTTGGGAGTTAAGGCTTGACTTTGGAGCGATTATGTATGAACTTAAAGGAGTAAGAAATCCTAATTGTAAAGTTTTTCTATTTCGCGCGAATCTCCTTGGAGTTAGAAGTCAAAAACTGTAACAAACAATCATTTATAGATATTTTTAATTAAAAAGGCATATATTGGATCAAAATATCATTTATTTTTATTTTACCAATATTTCAGATGGCTGAACGCCAACCTTTATCAAGGTGTTATAACATATTTAATGTGTGTCAACAACAAACTCAGCGCCACATAACGTCAACAGAATTAAGTTTTAAAAGTATTTTGTTATATTCAATGGGGGGGGGGGGGGATTTGATATATATATTTATATTATGGACAATTTTTTTTTTTTTAAATATGGGTGTGAATATTTTGAAAATTAACAATAACGCCTATTTTATATTTATAATTATTTGTACTAAAAAGATTTTTCGTAGGAAAATAAAATAAAAATAACAAAATATATATAAAAGAAATGTTAAACTAAATATTTTTTACCGAAAACACAAAGCGCTAAAAATGTGTGAAAAGTTGGTTAAAATAAAATATTAAAATAAATTTAAATGTAAAATTGTGAAATTTGAAATAAAATATAAGTGAAAATGGGAAAATATTTTTTTTTATGATATCACACAAACAAAACTAATTTATTTGTGTACAATTTTTTTTAACGATAGATGACAATTAAATTTAATTTACTAATATATATTTGTTATGAAAACATTTTTGCGGAAGAGCTTTGCTCGATGCAATACCTTGAAATTATATGTATGTACCTCTACAGACCTATAAGCTTATGTCCATAGTTCACTAAACACTCCTAAGCTGACTTCCATAGAAAATGTAGGGTATATCCCAAACCAATCCAAAACAATAGTAGAGCGGTCTAGAGATTAATTTGTCGAAACCGCTGAGAGGGTTCACTACTGATGAGCCAAGCCCTCTCATTCAATAACTCATATCATTGCATTAAGATCTGTAGAGATAATATTTGATGATATTTAAAAGAAGCGCATTGCCAGTAAATAAAAAATAATAAATAAAATAAAAATAAATTTGGTTGTGTAAAAATAAAACTTTGAAGATATTGAACTATCAATATATAAATATATATATAAATACATACACTGCGTGACATTGACTAACCGAGTTATGCAAATGATGTAAAATGCGCAGCCCTCGTGCGCACATGGAGTAAGATATAAGGGAAGGAACTTGCAGAAAGGACAGTAATGTGTCGTTATTTCTTCAAGGATAATCATTGTAGAAATTTTTTTTCTTGTGAGAGAATGCCAGGTCATCGTAAACGGAGGCAGTTCAAGCAGACAGACGCTTTTACGAGGGGCATGGTGATCGGACTGAAAAGGGCAGGTTGGTCCATACGTCAAATCGCAGCTGATACACACTTTGGTGCGTCCACGGTGCACCGACTGTGGAGAAGATGGTTGGAACAAGGAAATGTGGCAATTTATAGGAATGCCGGTGCAACCAGAGTGACGTCAGCACGTGTGGATCGGCGTATCCTTCGACAAGCAGTGGCGGCCCCACAAGCCACTTGTACCGCCATCCTGCAACATGTGCAAGTCACCCTAGATCATTCCATCTCGACCAGAACCATTTCCCGTCGATTGGTTGCTAATGGCTTGCACTCATGCCGTCCGCTAAGAAGACTGCCATCGACCCCACCGAATAGGCGCCAACGTTTGGAATGGTGCCGGGCTAGATCGACGTGGATGACGGAATGGCACAGGGTCGTGTTCTCAGATGAGTCGCGTTTCTGCTTGTCCAGTGATAGTCGCCGTGTACGCGTGTGGCGTCGACGTGGAGAAAGGTCCAATCCGGCAGCAATTGTGGAACGCCCCACCGTGCGACAACGTGGAATCATGGTTTGGGGCGCAATCGCGTATGATTCCAGGTCACCTTTACTTCGTATTCAGGGCACTATGACGGCCCAACGATACGTTGATGATGTGCTGCGACCGGTGACACTCCCCTACCTTCAGGGGGTACCCAATGCCCTTTATCAGCAGGATAACGCCCGACCGCACACTGCTCGCATTAGCCAACAAGCTCTCAAGATGTACAGATGCTTCCCTGGCCACCGTACTCTCCTGATCTCTCACCAACCGAGCACGTCTGGGACATCATTGGACGCCGTTTGCATGCCTTGCCACAGCCGCGTTCAGAAAACGAACTGTGGCAAATGGTTGAGAGGGAATGGAGAGCCATCCCTCAGGACGCCATCCGTACTCTGATTGACTCTCTACCTAGACGTGTTGCTGCGTGCATCGCCGTCCGCGGTGGTCCTACTTGCTACTAAGCCGACGCCGTTCTCGCTCTGTATTATGACTATCATTTTGAAATAAAGATCACTTATTGTTCGTCCCTGTCTCTCTCTGTCTGCCGAGTTTCATCACTTTCTGGCCACTATTTCTTGGTGTTCCATTTTCAATGTCACGCAGTGTATATATAAAATAAGCGTGTGATTGTATTTGAAATAAACTTAAACGATGTTACATAAATTTAAAGAAATATATATAAAGGAAAAATGCGCATTAAGCATTAAAACATTTTTACGTGCTCCTAAATATGTACCTCTCCCTATAAAATTAATAAAAATATAGACCTAAAATATCGGGAATTTGAAGTATTCAAATCAAAAATTAAACTGTAAATATTTTATGACACACGATCTAAATTGCGAATATATCTCTGGTAGTTCAATTTTTATATTTATACTATCTTTGTCTTCTGCGGAGGTCCAAGCTTCCAAATATAATCGGCAATGTTTTTTATTTATGTTCTGGTATAAAATACCTGTTTTATCAAATATTTGTATACGTATTACATAGCCTTTTACTTCAAATAATTTTGGACATTTAATTGGATATTTTCTAATTTGTAGATTTTATGAGAGATATATTTTCATCACAAATGATGTGCTAAATATTAAATTGCTATTAAATTACTGAAATACACTCATGGACAAAACTTAACGAATTGGAAATTCTTTGATGCCGCCGGTCGTCTGTTTTTTTTTTTTTTTAGGAAAAAGAGGTAATTTTGTTTACACATGGTTACCTTGTGTATCTTCAATAAAGGTCACTGTAATATATTTCAGAGTTATTGTCTGAATCCCGATATACATGGTAAAAAGTACAACTTCCTTAAGTTTTGTTCATGAGTGTCTATATAGATAGAGAACATTGAACAACCAAGCTATGGAACATGTATGATAATTTTAAAATAAAAGCATATTCTTTTGTGGGTATTTTTATTTATACATATAATTATAATTAATTAATTAAAAATAAATTAATGAATCATTTCAATGCCACAATATAATATGGTGACTTTTTTATTGGCATTTAAGTTGTCGTTCCCAGCTGATTTCTACTTTAATTTCGCAACCCTTGACGAGTTTTTAAAGAGTTTAGAGCAGAGCAGTGTGTTAAGTCAATGAAACCTGCTATTCTAACAACTGAATGTTGCTGATGACCCACTGCCATCTATCGGAACATTTAATAACATTGAATGAAATTATATATTTTTTAATTAAAAAAAAACTATAAATAGGCATTTAATAATTTGTAGTTTTTATTATTATTTATATCTACAGTTTTGACAGGTCTGTAAAATAGAGTAAACAGTATATGTGCTCGAATTTCTCCGTCACATGTGTGGCTGTGGTGCTCTAGTATGATATAAAATTGCGGGAGAACATTGCGATCCTGGATTTTATTATTTAATGTATTCTAAATGTTCTGACTGTGTTCTATTCTCAACATATATAATGGTTCAAAGATCTTTCTTTTAACTTGTACTTAATAGTACTGTCATATTCTATTTACAATTGTACTCATCTTTTTTCAACGTAAAATATACTGTTGTCTATAGAGAAAGAATATAATCATTTTGATTTAAATGTTTTTCGTTAAAAATAAATGAGGACATGGAGCTGTGTATGTACTGTGTAAGTACGTTCAATCGCCACCAGCGATAGACACGAGATATCCAGCAATATTCCCCAATGTGGACGTAGAGGGTGGTACCTGTGAATTCGGGGGAGAGTGAAAGGATCGCGCCAAACACCGTATAAACTGGAAGATTCAGAGAGAAGCTCCTGGGATTCTGTTAGTCCATGAACGTGTCATTCAAGCCACGTCAATAGGTTGTGTACATCCATTCACAATAAGTTGTAGATAGTCAAAAACCAGCAACGGTGGCGTCCTTGAGTGCTTGGCACAGGTCTGGAACCTTGGAGCGATTATGTCGTAACTGGACCAGTGGATGACACTTGGTGACTGTGGAAGGGCGGCGTACACTCTACATGACATCTTGTGGGGCCAGCAGTTCAGCCACTGACACACCATCAATACAATGCCGCACTTCTCACTGGAAATCTCACCAGCCTGAAAGGAAATAAATTCATTTCCTGGCTATCAGCCTTGCTGAAACTTTCTTGCATTGAAATCCAGGGGGAAATTGTCAGACTTTAGTTTCAACGAGAACCTGATAGCTATACCAACGTTCCTACGATTGTCAAATAGAGTTTGTACTTACTTCTGTTTTTAAAGTGATGAGGACATGCATAACATTTAGTGGGGATGATATCTTCATCAAACAACTTAATTCACAGTCCACGGCGCTGAGGTTCACCAGATGATTCTCCATTTGATTGCCCTGTAAAGATGTCGGCCTCCAACCCTCCAATGGCCTATCCAGAAAACAGATGTTTTAGACTCGTTCATAACAGTCTATCAAGGAATGTAATTTTCTGTTTATATGTCTACATATGGGGATACTGGACATTCAGTTGATCTTGCCTCATAATATTTGTATAAATGGCAGCTCATTTTTTTCATAAATTCCCATTCTTCCAACTCTTGCAACAGGTTTGTCATACACTTGATATGACAGTATCATTCACAACAGCAATAGGCTTTTCCAATCTGAAGTTGCTTCAACGAGTATCCGCCACTACCATCCGCCGTATCTGATAATTTGCACAGACGCTCGACAGATGAGCATAGTTTTTTGCGTCTATTTTGACGGGAGAGGTGACCTTTCTTTGTAAATATAGGAAATAAATTTTCTTGGTTCCCCCTCATCCAAATTTCAATCATTATACCAATGTTCCTCATCACTTTCTTCATTGCAGTTGAGTGTATCTGTCAGGACTACTGTGGTAGTTTGCAGACGAGTGTTAACAGCTATAACATAATCACTTCAAGGATTTCTTGATAGGGTGTTGAAAAAAATGTTGTCATCAACAGGATTGCTCAAATTGATTTTTTGGAATTTGGTGTTAAAACGGGTTTAGTTTTTTATTCAATATTTCTATAATATTTGTTTCTTATAGAAAATTTGTTGTAATGAAATTCCCTCATTGTTTTGTGGAATGCCTTTGTTTTGTGAGCAAAGAAAGGGTTAATAGGAGCGAGGCAAAACCCAAACAGGGAGTGGTGACGTCAACGCGGATGATTTGCAAAGTCCATCTAACATGCCCACCTACTGTTATATATCTCCGAGTGGCAATGGCCTGAAACTAGGATAATCAAAGGCTATCATTGATCCTCTCTTTGTTAGAGAATGTGTCGACCTAGAGCTGCTAAGAGGACCATGTTCTGTACTCTATTAACAGTTGTCTGTTAAACATTTTGATGGGTTGTTATTATTATTATTTTTTTTGCATTTTCCTGTTTCTCCTTCTTCTTCCATTCCTTTAGTTAGCTCTTGTCTACGCGCATTCCTTTACGTTAATTGAATATTTTTATGTAAACTCTGATCCCTATTAAATTAAATGTAGTTCTACAAGCAGGATATATATATTAAATGTGTATGTTATATAACTTTTGACACTATACCACTACTCCTGTAAGGTTCCAGATTCCACAAAGCTAACAGGCCGTGTGTGTGCAGGGCCAAGACCAGAGGCAAAGTTGATATAGGCACACAGACAGACCCACCTCCCATAATTTTCCAGGCCCACGATCCCCCCGAACCTTTTGACAACCCTCAAGGCTACATCAACAATGTCCTTTTCTTACAGTCCGCACACCAAATGTCCCTTCCCAGTTCCTCATTTTCCCTTGACTTACCCCTATTTTTCCCCTGCCCCCAATACGAGTTTCTCCTTCCACCCCTAGCTTTCGAAATTTCTTCTTCCGCTCCCTGTTTTCCCAGGCCCGCATCCCCCCTGCCCCGCGATCCCGTGCAGCTGCGACTGCGGCTTCACGGGAACGCGGAGCCGGGGTCCCGTTAGGACTACTAACCCCCGTTTCTGTAGTTACTAACCCACACCCTCTGGTCTACAAAATTCTATAGTCACGTTCCCCTGTATCCCCCTTTCAAAATTTTGACAGTTTTTTTATAACTATCATTTTATAAGTATCATAAATAAGCCTAACTAACCACCTCCACTCGATGTGGAAGATCAAAGGTGAGATTAACGCAGTAACTGACTTCACTACCAGCTGCCAGAGATCAGGTAACTTGGGTCTCAGCAGCGATTTATCGGGGTGAAAGGGACAACCACGGTATATCTAATTCCATTCCCTTCAAATCACTCAAAACGCTTCAATACGCCCCAGAATAAATTTTAAATATAACAATCGAGATGTTTGCCTTGCAGTAAAATACAGTGTGTGTCGAGAATTAAAAAATACTCTAAAGTACTGTATTCATTTGTAAAATGTACTCTAGGTTCACACAGTGTTTTACATATCACAGAATATAATTTTAAAATAGGTTGAACTAATCTCTCAGAGAGGGTTAACAAATATATTTTTCTAAATGTTTCTGTTTTCCTAGATCAACTTTACAATAATGAAGCCTAAAAACAATATTACGATGTACTAGAGCGCCATCTGTTATCAAATTATAAAACTATTTTAGAGGCGTAATATTCTTTTTAAAATAAAACAATTTCTACAATTTTTCCATCGCAGTAAGGACAGTAGAAATTGTTTTATTTTAAAAAGAATATTACGCCTCTAAAATAGTTTTATAATTTAAAAACAATATTGTACAGACAGAAGCAGGCCGGACAGTAATTGCGAGATACTTGATAAAACCGCAACTCGATTGGAGACTAGTCTTTACTTTTGACACTGTGATGCCAAAGACGGTTCCTGACATCAGACCCAGTCTACTCTGCTAGATCCACTGTTTAATTGGGAGTTGACGGTAGTTGGAGAGAGGAAGTTTTAATTGTTTTCAGCTCTGAGGCATCTTTGTTGTCTGCAAAGATATAAAGATGTTTATGAACAAATTTCAAAATAGGGTTAATTTTATGTGTCGGACCTCTTAAATCTGAAAGGCTAACTAGGTGAAAACCGACTTTGAAGGCATATCGGGGTTCTAAATAATAGTTATCCTATTGACTTATCTACTACTTACCATCTACTTTTTACATCTTGGCGAATGATAAACGATTCTTGTTGAAATCTCTTAAAACTCGAATATGTTGCGGCCATTATATATATGAATATATATATATTTCATTAATATAAAATTTGAAGACAATGTGCGTGTAAACTTTCCTAGAGACAATCATGGGCAATATCAAGATTTGGTGATTAACCAAATGGAACATTTCATATATGGGTTCACATTTAGACCTTTAATTTCTTATCGAAGCAATAATCTTAGAGAAAGTGTTTTTATTTGGGTTATGAAGGTTTTGTTGTTGCTTCCTATATATCTAAATAGATTTATATATAAGATGAGTTTAGTTACTGCCTTATGCAGAGAACGCGCAGAACAACCTATTCTCCAGTATAATAGTATTCCCTGAAGGAATTGTTTCACAGCAGCGTTGATTACATGGTATCCTATTGAATTCCGCTGAATTCATAACGCCCACTCACATACTATCCTATGTGATAGCATTCCATGATGGGATTGTTACAGCGTAATCGCACGGTCCTTGGAGGACCAGGTGGACACCTGATGGCGCGGTTCCGGGAGGACCTCAAGTCTGGCATGATGACCACAGCCCAGCTGCAATGCCCAAGCCCTCCAGACATATAACCTTATAAGCCTCACTCAGCGTGGCTTTCGGACGCCACAAATCCTGGATGGCGACAAATATGTTGAAAAGTCTCGAGAAAAACTTGGATGTCGTACAGTGGCGACGTTCCCCTGAATGTAGTGTTCGTGGATAAAGCCCCAGATCTACGATGCTCGATACAGCACTACCTGCATAGTCCTGGGGGCACAAGTAAAGTATGGTGGAGCAAGCTTCCCATGGCTCAGAAAAGCCCACCTCGCTTTCCCATGGCCCTAGGGAGAAGACCTTAGGATTAAACTAATGTTAAGAAATTGTGACCAAATGTCTCCGCAAAGATGCCTCTAAGATGATGATATGACCAAGTTACCATTGCTACAGAGAAAGTCTGATTAACGAATGAACAACACACCGACCTACCCATCTCCTCAAACTAATGCCTCGAGTCTGGAAGCGGCTTTAAAGTCCATCCACGGCACTTGGAGCCATCGAGAGATTATCTCACTGATATCGACCTTGCTCAGCTTCGGCGCTGACTTCAGTTAGAACAATGAAGTACCACAAATATCTACGTGAACTGGACGGTAAGTATATATATGTGTTAACTACATAGCTTCGATGTTGGAGTAATGTATATTTGGTTCAGATAAGATGAAGGATTGGGCTCTTTCTTTGTTATGCTGGAAGGTTAACGATTTAAGGTCATGGTTATGTTCATTTTATGTGCTCTGCATTGCTAAAAGTTCTATTTGGCCATACCTAGCTGCCACCTTGTGCATTGATACATCTTATATTAAGACTATGTTGAAATCACTTTTTCACAATTTAAAACATTTTTATCTGAGCTATATTCCAAATTGACCTTATCACTTTAAAATGATCGCAGCATTCAATTACTATATAACAAACTGACATGGTAACAAGTGTTTAAATGGGAGAGATACTCTTATTATTTACATAAGGCAAATATAGCTATTTTTAAATTTGTATGTAAATATATCTTTGCATATATTAAATTGGCATTTATCATTAATTATTTTGATGGAAGCATTGTTTCTGCTCAGACAAAAAGTGGCACGTTTCTTGTGAGGAATATTATTAAACCTGATAAAACATAAGTTAACAAGACTGAATCCAAATAAATTGTGTGCAACATTTCAGTGACTGTCATCACGCTACAGTTAATATAAGCGTTATACAAGATTTTTAAAGTTGAATATGTCCTTGTTATATAAATATACCTTAATTTTTCCAATCTATAATCCTAATTTCACCTTTTCCTTAAACCAGCTAATGAATTCCAAAATTGTTTACCAACAGTAAACGTTCATATAACATTGTGATATAATAAATGTTAAATAAAAATATATTGGTAGACATCCTGAGACTAAACCCTTGTTTGTCTTCAAGTCCACGCTTGCATGCCCTTGATTTTGCCATTCTTTTATACTTTGTATTCTTTCCCACAATTTTCTTCCTTCTTTATGACTTCTCATTTGGACTGAACTATTTTCTGATAAATTTATATTGATAACTCAACAATTCTCTCTTAAAGGATTACATATGCCATTTTGATGTGGTAATGAGAGATAATTGACCCAATCCTGTATTGACTTAAAGTCCAGTCTAATCAAGTTCACCATTTGTTTCCAGAAAAAAAAAACTGAACCAGAATGACCTCACCAAAGACCTGGAAGAACTAATTGATGACACAGAGTAAGTTCCACACACCTCTAAATTTTTCCCCAGATATAAACAGATACTGGAAAGGCCAGTTTCAGAAGGATGGGTATAGAAACATTGTAGATAATAAACCAAAGAAACAATTCTGAGGGCATTACATTGCAGCATACTCCTTTACACAGTCTCTGGAATATACAGGGAGGTGGAAATGTTTTGTTATAGTGTATATCTGATGTGTTGTTTCTGAAACATCACTTGTGGTTCCCCCCCCCCTTTTTTTTTAATTTGGTGTGTGTTGCATTTTTGCTTCAGACACATAATCTTTGACAGTTTTTTTTTTAAATGGGATTTAAATAATTTTAAAAAAAGAGTATTAAAACCTAATGAATACATTATGCTAGATGTTTCTCTCTCAATAACAGCATTGTTAACATCAGACAAAGTATTGAATGAAGTAACTAAAAATAAATTCTGAAAAGATGCAGTAATTTTGGCTGATGATGGTATTCACACTGTTGCTGATGTCATGCATGATTTATTCAGTTGGATGTGGTCTTCTCATGTTTCCAATATATCGTCCAAATTGTCCCTATCACTTTGAAATGATCACATCCAATTACTACATAACAAACTGACCAGGTAACAACAAGTGTTCTCTGTGCTCCAGCACTTCCATCAGCGACTTAAGATTCTATCAACCCAGATATGATAACCCGGAACTCCGCCAAAAAATCCTTCAAGACAAATACAGGTGCTTCTCTACCTTGACCTCTATATTCAACTCTCATCCTGTCAGATATCGTGTCCAGACCAGAAATTCCCTGAAGAATTGGGAATTCTCCATGCTTTCTCCAAAGTCTAAAAAAACGGTAAGGAAGTTTAAATTTAATTTTCTCAAGAGAGAGAGTTCATTTTATAAAAAAAGTGCTGTCATTCTTAACCAGGTAAAATTAAAAGAGAGAGGTCCAGTTTTACCTGAACTCACAAATTCTTAACATACAAGGCATCTTGAGAAAAGTTTAGTCTTAATGGCAAAAGCAGAAACATTACGTTAGAGATAAATAAGTTTTCTTTATTTTATGTATTCTCTAACATTCTTTATTTTTCCATGTAATATATTAATTGCAATAACTGGAACCTATTGTCATTTGTCCAGTGTTCGCCATTAGATGAAATACCAATATGTTCAAAGATAGTCCAAACAGCCAGAGATGTGCAGATGTCAAGGTTGACAGCCAGCAACCCCAACAGTCCGGCAGTAGATGAGGAAAACTTTGAAAAAGATTCCGAGATTCTGCAGGCTGACCTGCACCGCCATCACAGAGCTGGCACCGCCATCACAGAGCTGGACCAAGATTTGAAGATGAAGGAGAAGTTCATCGCCTCCCTGCAGGATAGTGTGACCACGGTCGTTGAGTGACAGGTTTGTTGTTTGTGACAATGTCATATACTGTAGTACTTGTCATCCGTTTGTTCTGTTTTTTATAACTTCTTCCAACTTAATCAAGGGAAGTGGGAAATTACCCTTCATTTGCATACAAGGAGCAGCAAGTGTTGACTCTGCACATTCATTGTTTTATATTTAGTGACTGTAGAACTTCCTCTCTGTTTACCACTGTTGACTGTGGAATTGAAGATTGATGGAATTTCGACTATCCACAAACTTTTCTCTATGACCTATTGAAATCCTAGTTGCTACAACATTGCCATGTGGGGTAATCAATGTAATCAATTGTGTCCAGATCGACCCAGAATTCGTTGAAGTTGACAGAGTGGCAACAATTGCAGCATTGCCTGAATTGGAATAAAATGACGTCACCTTTGTTCATTGCAGATGAGTCTTTCACTGAACCTGCCGTTTTATCCCAAGGTTGGTTGCTATACCAGACTGACTCATGTCAGGAATTGGTTTGTGCCGGGCCACAGATGATGGTTCAGATCCTGGCTGCAGCTGATGGCCTTCGCAGCGCGGTCTTTCTTGTACAGCTGGCGGCGACTGTAGAGCGGTTCAACCCTGAGAATCTTCTCATTTTTGAAGAGCACCTTCGACAAGCGAGGGACGAAGAAACATTGTTGACGAGCAGCACAGATTATTCTGGATGATGCTGCGAACACTTAACTCGCTGATCCTAAACTTCTTCATTTTGCCTATCGAACCCTCCAGTTTTCCTTGAATTCCACAGCAAATCTCCTGGAAGTTCCCTGTCTCAGTAGTTGGATGACCGCTCCGAAGGTGATCTCCAGTCTCTCCTTGTAACCTTCCATGGCACCGTAGACGGCCCTCTCCCTTCAAACAATGTCAGCCTGCCTAAATTGACCACAATCAGGTGTTCATTTCCATGTCACTTTCGACAAATCTTAAGACGATGAATATAAACGAATGAATAAAAGTTTCTGGACCAGAATTACACGAGGAATTCATTGAAAACTAACACAAACTCATAATGACAAAAAAATTGCTGCAAGTTTATTACACCCTGTAGAAGTTTTAATATAAGACACCTAGACCAAACTTAATAAAAACAGAGAAATGCAAATTTATCAAATAACTGACTGTTGTTGTTGTCCTTGTTTATTA